TTGGGCAAGAAAGAGTTGCAACGATTGCATCTCGAGGATACTGAGATGTCCTCTTCTGGCATAATTAGTGGCGCGTCCCGACTTCGGTTGAGCTCAGGTGTGGCTTGGCGGATCCGCTCGTGAGCAGCTCCGGAAAAGTCGCAAATCCCTCTCACCTCCGGCCTCTGTCAATTCTATCGTCACATCCATTCTCGTCCACCTTCCATCTCCACTCCCGCCAATTGTTAGCTACAATGTTCTCCGCGAGGCAAATATTCGCTCAGGCCCAGCGCCGCTCCTTCTCGGCGTCTTCCCGACAGGTACGGCAGTCGAGGCGCTCGCATTGCTTTTCGCTGGCATGCCGGAAGCCGCAAAGACCTGTTTATCTGGACCTCGAAGCTGATGTACATGGAATTAGGCGTCCAAGGTGACGGTTCTGGGTGCCGCCGGTGGCATTGGCCAACCTTTGTCGCTGCTGCTGAAGCTCAACCCACGGGTTAGCCAGCTTGCCCTCTACGATATCCGCCTGGCCCCCGGTAAGTTCTCTGCAACACTTCTCTAATAGCAAATTTACTGATGTGTATTCTGCAGGTGTTGCCGCCGATGTTGGTCACATCAACACCAAGAGCGAGGTACGAGGTGTTTACCGAGCAATTGTTATCCGCATCGACTGACGATATCAGGTCCGGGGATACGACGCAACACCCTCCGGCCTGGCCGAGGCGCTCAAGGGCAGCGAGGTCGTTCTGATTCCCGCCGGTGTGCCCCGAAAGCCTGGCATGACCCGCGACGGTATACAATGATTGCTTCCGATGTACATCGCCCATCCTGACTTTTCAGATCTCTTCAACACCAACGCTTCCATCGTCCGCGATCTTGCAAAGGCCGCTGCCGACCACGCCCCTGAGGCAAACATCCTAATCATCTCGAACCCGGTAGGATACAAAGCCTCGGGCTCTTTTCCGGGCACATGTTAATGTACACAGGTCAATTCCACCGTCCCCATCACTGCCGAGATCTTCAAGTCTAAGGGTGTCTACAACCCCAAGCGCCTCTTTGGTGTCACCACCCTCGACGTCGTCCGAGCCTCCCGCTTCATCTCCCAGTTGAAGAACACCGATCCCGCCAACGAGAACATCACCGTCGTCGGTGGTCACTCTGGTGCCACTATCGTGCCACTGCTCTCGCAGTCCGGCTATAGCCTTCAGGGCGAGCAGCTTGACCAGTACGTTAACCGCGTACAGTTTGGTGGTGACGAGGTCGTCCAGGCCAAGGATGGTGCCGGATCTGCCACTCTCTCCATGGCCATGGCTGGTGCACGCTTCGCCGAGAGCCTTCTCAAGGCCGCCCAGGGCCAGAAGAACGTCATCGAGCCGACTTTTGTCGACTCGCCGCTATACAAGGACCAGGGCTGCGACTACTTCGCCTCCAACGTCGAGCTCGGCCCCAACGGTGTTGAGAAGATCCACCCCGTCGGCAAGATCACCGAGCACGAGCAGAAGTTGCTCGATGTCTGCCTCAGCGACCTCAGCAAGAACATTGCCAAGGGTGTGAAGTTCGTCAAGGAGAACCCCGGCAACTAATCTCTCCGACCCCCAAAAGGAGTATGTACAATAGTAATAGAGGGAAACTAGCGATGATCTGCTTGAATGCGTGCATTATGGCTTCACTGGAGCTGGTCCGGCCTGAGACGGGCGATCAAGTGTCCGTGGGAGGACCCCTCTTTGCGCGAACTGTAGATTCGATTCCTTTGTATCCTTGCAGCAGAATATACTCCCCAATCCGCCCACCTCAGATTGGTCTTGCATGCCCACACGTGAGCGCAATTTTTACTTCTGAAGCCAGGTCAAGCGCGCCTGTGCTGCTTCGAGGCGTCAATCGGAACCATGCAGATTGTTTCCATGTGCAGAACCGGGTTCACGGATGCCCACACAAACTTCCCGCAGTGCACAAACACTGACGCACGCACCCACATGCTCTCACTATGCACGCACGTGCTCGAAATCGGATGGAAGGAGGGTTTTGTGGGGCAGCGCCATCGCCACGGCCATGGGCCCTCTGGGCCAACGTCAAGCGTGCGGGTCCACGGAAGCTGCTCGTTGGGGCAACATGTTTACCATTTTTTCTCTCTCTTCTTATTCTTATTCTACTCTAGACAGCGTGCGCGCGGGGGAAATTTGCCGAGACACTAGCTTGCTTGAAAAATGGGAGAAGAGCAGGAAGGAATTGCAGCGCAGGAAGATGCGAATGAGATGTCCATCCAGTACATGATTTCCAATCCGTCCGTAGGTCCGTAGGTCCATCCATACGCAGAGGTGCAGGAAAGCAACGCGAGCAGAAATGGCGAGTATTTACAAATGCGATGCAGGAGTCTACAACTTGGCTTTCGGAGCCTCGAGCGTTGGGAGCATGAGATCGCGGATGTCGCCCGCGGCTTCGTTGAGGTAGAAGCTCATCTTGTCCTGTTTTATCATTAGCATGTGTGCTTCTTTTGCACTGTAAGAGGGGTGTGTGTGACTTGCCGATCCGAGTCCCTTGCTGCACACGTTGAACTGGATGCTGTTCTCATTGATCATGTACGCGATGCCCCACCCATTTTCCACAACCTCGCTCCAGCCGTACCCGTTGAAGTATTCGGAGCTGAGCTGCGACGACGAGATGAACCATGTTGAGCTGTAGCTGAACGCCGGGTCCTGGTACAGTGCGGGCACCGGCTCCCCGGGCTCGAGGCACTTCTTGAGCCCGAAGAGATGACGGTCCACGCCCTTGCCGTCCGAAGCATCCGAGATGTACTTGACGTGCCCGTTCAGTGCCTCGCGGAACAGTTGCTGGCACTTCTCGGCGGGGACGTTGTGGTCGGCCATTGCGTCACAGAAGGCGACGGATTCGTCGGATACGGACCTGCACGTCTCGGTGCGGCCCTCCTGGAAACGACGCGTCGCCGCTGATTCGTACGTGGGGCGGTTCTTGCCGTAGAATTTGTGGTACGCAAGTTGGATAATCATCTGTACGTATGCATCAGGCGAGCACTTGAATTTCTTGATCAGGCCTTTGCCGTAGCCCTGGTAGGCTTGGACACGCAGCTCGTGGGCGCCGATTTGACCCGAAAAGTGGGCTTGTGCGGCGTCGATATCTTTTTGGAGTTCAGGGGTGATGTTGAAGCGGAGGGAGGTCGGGTCCGGGAGGTCAGAGCGGATGTTAGGATCATCGAACGGCAGGGCATTGGCGAAGATGAGCCTATTGGCTTCGTCGTTGAGTCGATGAGTGGTTGTGCCATCCATCATCGAGTGTTCACCCATGAAGCCAGATGTGCCGTTGTCGTTGATAATGAACTGAAGAGGCTTGTCGTACCAGCGATTGGAACCGTCACCATGCCAGTATTGGTGTGCACGCTCCTCGAGAGTAACGGGGGAGGCATCGTCAAGGCAAACGATAAAGGACGCGGACTCGATGGCTTCGATCGAGACAGCATTGACATTGGACGCGGCCTTTAGTCGTGGGTACACGTCTGCCCAGACGTCACGGTTCTGGGATGTGAGGATGCCGACTGGTGGGCTCTTTTCCGCCTTCTCGTAGATGCGCTTGAACTGGACTTCAAACTCGCTGGTGTTGAGCTGCTTGCCGTTAATTTCGTGTGCGACCTTCCAAAACTGGTTCTTGCGGATGACTATGATGTGCTTGTTTTGTTCGGCCGAATGTTTGACGCTGGTATCTGAGGGCTTTTGGGGGACACGGGAGCAGTTGAACATCCAGTAGTACGAGCTCATGGCGATTGGAAGCTTCTTCATGTACTCTGGCTCCAGACTGTTGCTATCAACCTCCTTCTTGAACTGCAGTACGGCTGTTGAGAAAGCAGCTGCCCTCTTGGCTGGATTTCTTCGTTTCCGATCATCGCGGTGTGAGTAGAAGTAGCTGACATACGGAACCACCGGGTCTCGGTAGGCCATGTACGCAGCATCGTTCCACCACTCCGATATCCAGTTCTTGATCTCAGGCCGCTCTCTTCGCGCAATCAACCGCTTTTGTAGCTCTTCGCCTGGCCCGCCAGGAGCAACGAATTCATTCACAGCCTTCGTAGTAGTTTCGAACTCGGATTTGGAAAGGAGCGGGTGGACGGACTTGAGGTAGCGCTTGGCCGTCTCCTCGAGCGTTGGAACTGGGAGCCGTGGTAGCGAGTCTTCGAAGCGCAACATGGCACCTTTGCTCTGGTCTTCCTTGTAGCCTGTATTTACCCTCAAACATTAGCTTTTGCTCGTGTTCGTGCTTGTTGTTGCTGGCATGTGAAAGACTGGGTACTCACCCGCTGGCAGCGACGACTGTTGCCGCCTCGAATTGACGGGTGGCATAGCAAAGACCTAGGAAAGGCAGTATCAGTACATGTCCTCGGCACTTCTAGGGCCCTGCTCGTACCTTTGGACCCTGCTGGGGAAGTATTCTTGAACGAATCAGGGACGCGGGAGCTCGCGCGCGTGCTGCTGCATTAAACATCTGAACTGGAAAAGAGAAGGAGAAAGATGAGAAGAACCGGTGTTGGAGCTATTTCAGCTTTCAGCAGAACCTCGGCGGACGGAGGTTTGTTTTTGTCACGTTCGATTGCTGCGGGCTGCACGTCGGCGTTGGCTGCAGCGGCTCTCAACCTCGGCTCACCTCGGCGGCGGAAATGTTGTTCACGAGGGAAGATGCGTGACCTGCAGCTTTGCGTGTGCGCCGCTGGACCGATGCAATGAATATCGATGCTGTTAACGTGATGACAAGGAGCCAAGCAAGGAGTCTCCCAATGCATATGTGACCAGCATGCTTTTGTTATGGGTAATTGCGCTGTCGGTCGCATCTCCGATCAGCCTCACCAGCCATAGTGGCGGCTTTTCAACGCGCCACCATTAGCACGAGCGCGATTCCATAGTGGGGCTAATCTGAAACGTCATAAAGTGAGCCGAGGCTGCCACGACTCTCAATCCAACCTTCTTCTTTTTATCTATAGAATATATTTTTACTACTCGCCAATTTTCCCCATCAAACAGGGTTTTGTAGTGTAGCGGTCATCACTCCGGATTCTGATGATATCGGATTATTCCGGCAACCCCGGTTCGAATCCGGGCAAGACCTCACGTTCGATTTCTTTTTGCCTTATGCAGAGAAAAATCCGCAACTCCCCTCCTTTCTTTTGACAACATAAATGTAATAAGTTACATCTTTTATAAGATTGTTTTTTACTCTTTTAATCCTAGGGAAAGAATGCAGCCTGCTAAAATCAGACGCAATGGAATCCACACATGTCCTGGGCATTTGTACATGCGTGAACGCAATGACCCCTGGACCGTGAGCGCTGCTCGATCGCCGTCACAGTTGCACTACGACCACCTTAGCCTAGTCGGAATCACGTTCAATTGCTTTTGCATCACACAAACCCGAATCCTTTCCTTCAACATCGCTAACAACACGTATCGCGCCATGTCGACGCGTAAAGTCGCGCAGAAAGCGACTCGCATCAAGAAAGTGGCACCGACAGCACCTTCCTTGACCGCGTTGGGTATCCCGGAGCCCGCAACCTCCGAGACTCTCACACCAGCGGTTCCCCCAGCTCGCTTGCATCCCCCAAGCTATCATTGGCCACTTTTGTTGGCCGATAAGAGCACATGCGATGCATTACTGCAATGGTTTGAGGGTGTTGAGGAAGAGAGGCAGATGCCTTGGAGAAAGGCTTGGATAGACCCGACCTTATTTGAAGATCAAGACGAGGGCAAGCAGACGCTAGCGAAGCGGGCATACGAGGTCTGGGTTTCCGAAATTAGTAAGTTGAGGACTTCTCTTTGGCTGTCTTCTACATTGTGTCTCCCTCCAAAAGAGGAGCACTTACCCGGAACCCCGAGTACCCGTCAGTTCAATCCCCGACTTCTAGCTAACATCGTCAAAGTGCTTCAGCAGACGCGTGTTTCAACCGTCATTCCTTACTTCAACAACTGGATATCAAAATGGCCAACAGTTCAGTCCCTCGCCAACGCATCACACGATGATGTTCTGTCCGTATGGAAAGGCCTTGGCTACTACTCTCGTGCCACTCGTCTGCACCAAAGTGCTCAAGATATGATCAAGAGAAATGACAAGTGCGCTCCAATTCCCAATACTGCGCGCGAACTTGAAGAGTTTTCCGGCATTGGAAGGTACACGGCGGGTGCGATATCCAGCATCGCCTTTGGTAAACCAGAACCAGTGCTTGATGGCAACGTGGCTCGCGTTCTGAGTAGACAACTCGGACTATTTGTAGACGTCAAGGACAAGAAGTCTGCCGATTTACTTTGGGAGGTGGCAGACCATCTTATCAAAAAGATTGCGGGATGGCCGGAGATACAGACGAGCCAAATACCTGGTCAGTGGAATCAGGCGCTTATGGAGCTTGGATCCACCATCTGCACACCGAGACCACAGTGTGGTGAATGCCCAGTTCGTCAGACCTGCCGAGCGTATGGCGAGGGAGAGGTTCTGCTCAAGAAGGATAAGCAGAACGCTTCTGTTCCTGATATTGAGGACGCCTGCACTTTGTGCGACCAACTTGACACTGAAGAGCTAGTCCTGGCTAGCGCAGATGATGTGTCCACCAAAGAAACCAAGTCCAAAACCAGCAAGAAGCGGAAAGTGGAAGCAAAGTCTCAGAACACCATATCGCGATACTTCACAGCCAAGACCTCCGGCGCCAGCTTAGAGCTCGATCTAGATGGCCTCGATGAGGTCTCCGATACATCACAGTTCAACGATGGGAAGAAACGAAAAGCCTCAGCTTCGGACAACAGTCATGACCGAATCGCCAACTACTGCTCACTGTTTCCTAAGAGAGCGCCTAAAAAGAAGGTCGCAGAAGAGGAGTGTGTTGTCTGCATGATCCGGGATCGATCGGATGATGAGAAGAGCAGGTGGCTGATTGAACAACGCCCAGCAAAAGGTCGGCATTCCAACCCGTACGCCACAATCTCTCGAGTTACCCACTAACAGCTGATAGGTCTGCTGGCTTCACTGTGGCAATTCCCACAGAGCACCCTCCCGGCTTCGACCTCGCGATCAGAACGCAAGTCGGTAGCACAAAACTTCGTTTCGGATCTCAGCCCTGCAGGGTCAACCTTTAAACACATCGAAGAGCTGGGATCCTTGATACACGTTTTCACTCATCTAAAGCTTACTATGCATGTACAACACTTTGAAGTGGTTACAGATACGACAGAAAGGCTTGATTCCGTGCGTGCCGGTCCATCCGGACGGAAATGGGTCGATACCGAAGCCATGGATGGCGAAACGCTATCAACTGGCATGCGCAGGTGCTGGTACCTCATGCAAAAGGACCAATCGAACGTACCAACACCATGATGGCGGTACAATTGTCACCCACGCGACAACGTAAGCGGATCGTTATCTATACGCCAAGCAACATATCGACTTGGCTTCCGCTCCGCCTCCTCGGCACCGACCCACTCCACCCCAGAAACTCCCCAGCTGAAAGATAACAGTTCTTGGAATCGCACATGCTATGCCTGATCAGTTGAAAATCTCCAGGTCCTAGCGCTGTGCAACCTTTACTATTGTGGAAGGCAGAGGTCTAGGCATGGATTACACAGATAGGACGTGCGACAAACCGCTACGGGATGGGATATAAGCGTGAGGGCACGCCATGTGGGTTTGGCTGTCAGCTTTGCGGGTACCTACCCACACGAGGATCTGCTACGCGTGCGAATGCGTGAGGATTGTTATTCAGGATGGCGGAAGCTCCAGTCCCCACGCCAGTCACTGAGTGGCCGGACTACAATGTCAACCCTCAAGGCGGCAGTGTTTGGTCGGATGATATGAACGCGCCATATGACAAGGGTGATTTGTGTTGGTTGCTGGTGTGCTCATGTCTCTGCTGGTAAGTTCACAGTCCTTGCAACAGAAGATCGAATCTAATAGACACAGGCAAATCACTCCAGCAATCGGTTTCCTCTACGCGGGAATGCATCGTCGCAAAGCCGCCCTGACCATGATCTTCCAATCCCTTTTCTGCGCCTGCGCCTGCGGCATCCAGTTCTGGGTGTACGGCTACTCGCTTTATCAATCGCACACGACAGGCCCTTTCATCGGCGACCTCTCGCTCGCCGGGTTGCACAATGTGCTCGCTCAACCCTCGCTCGCCAACCCCGACATCCCGGACATCCTATACGCTTGCTTCGGCTTCACCTTCGTCACAGCCACGGCCATGATCCTGGCTGGTGCCATGCTCGAGCGCGGCCGCCTTCTCCCTTCGATGCTCTTCCTTCTTTGCTGGACCACCTTCGTGTACTACGTCCTCGCATACTTTGAATGGAACCCCAACGGCTGGCTGTACAAACTCGGCGTACTCGACTTTGCCGGCAGCGGCCCCGTGCACATCGCCTCTGGCTTCTCGGCGCTAGCCTGGAGCATCATGTTGGGCCGGCGCAAGGATCCCCATGGCGAGAGCGTGCACGAGAAGATTCCGCATTTCCGCCCGCATAACCCGTTTTTGGTCGGCCTGGGCACCATCTTGATCTGGTTCGGGTGGTTCGCGTTCAATGGCGCGTCGACGGCGAATCTGTCGCTGCGGTCCATTTACGTCGTCGTCAACACGAATCTGGCCGCGTGTGGCGGGGGCATTGCGTGGGTGCTGCTGGAATACGCTTACTCGCGCAAGTTCTCCATCATCGGGTTTTGCAGCGGGATCATTTCGGGGCTCGTGGGTATCACGCCGGCGGCGGGTTTCGTGCCCGTTTACATTGCTTCTACGGTCGGGTTCCTGACGAGCTGTTGCTCGTTCTTTACTGTCAAGTACAAGCACTTCATCGGCGTCGACGAGGGCCTCGATATCTTCGCCATTCATGGCGTTGGTGGCTACGTCGGTGATCTTCTGACAGGCTTCTTTGCCGCGGCTTGGGTCCCAGCGCTGGATGGTGTCAATACTGCCTATGGGGGTGGGTGGTGGTCACACAACTGGATCCAGTTGGGGTACCAGCTCGCTGGGGCTACCACGTGCGCTGCGTGGTCCTTCTTCATCAGCTTGATTCTTTTGTTTATCATCGACCATATTCCCGGCTTGCATTTGCGGGCTAGCGAGGAGGATGAGCTGAGGGGACTGGATCTGAAGTATCTGCACGATGCTGAGGATCATATGATTTTGACTGGGTATGGAGCTGCGACTTCTGGCATTACGGCTTCGGGAATGCTTAGTGGGAACAGTGGATCACCGAGTGAGGTTGGAGGAGTGCCTGTGGTCCCTCACAAGCAGGATTAGATGCTTGTGGGGTTTTTAGCGTACGCGATGTTTTAGTAACCTTGACACGCTGTAGGGAACCTGTAAGATCGAGGACATTCGTTCGTTCGCAGGTGTATCGATAGATTTCGGTCCTCCATCCATATATATATATACTTTACTCCTCGACATCCCACTCCATCCCCTCTCCCCCTCGCCAATAATCCCACCTCAACCCCCCCTTCCTTTCACCGATACAACAACCCCTCCACCTCCTCCGCAATCGCCAAACAACTCGTCAACCCCGGACTCTCAATCCCCAACAAATTCACAAACCCCTCAAACCCCTCCTCCCTCTTGATCCAAAAATCCTCAAACCCCTTCCCCGCCGCCACCGCGCTCGCCCTACCCAACTTCGGCCTTATCCCCACATAATCCAGCCCAATCGCGCTCCTGTCGATGCCGGGCAGATATGTCTGAATGTCGTCCAGCGCGGCAGAGAGGTTCTTGTCGTTGACAGCGTAGTCGGAGGCGTCGTCGACCCACTCTACGTCCGGCCCGAAGCGCACGCGGCCGCCCATGTCGAGCGTGAGATGCGTGCCTAAGCCTCCGTGTCCGGGGATCGGAGCGGGATACACGAGCGTCTTTGGCTTGGGCGTGCTGAGGCTGTAACTGAAGTAGCTGCCCTTTGCGTAAAAGGGCGTCTTGTGGCGCGAGGCGGGGAGGATGGTGTTGGAGAGCGGGATGGCGGCGAGGCCGGCTGAGTTGATGAGTGTTTCGGCTGTGGTGGTGCTGGTTTCGCCCGAGGGGGATGAGGTGTGGATTTCCCAGCCCTGGGAGCCGGAGGAGAGGGGCGTGATATGGGTTACGGGGCTGTGGA